ACCTTTCCATCTGGGCCTTCCTACCTCGTTAGCTGGTGTTGGCACAAGGCCCTGCGGCTGGGTGCACAGGAGAGGCCTGGGGAGTGGGGGTATCACACAGCCTTCATGGAGGACAAGGAAACTGCTCTGTGTGGTGAGGGTGGGGATGTCCGTGGATTTGGGTTCTGCAGTAGTAATTCAAGAAGCACTGGGTATAAAGTATATCATAAATTCAGTCTTGTCAATTTGTGGTAGCCATGGAGAAAAGAGTTGATGTAAATCTGCCTGGATCACAAATTCCCAACTTGTCCAGGATTACCACAACCGACACTAGCCTGTTATATTCAGTTCCATTAAACTGAGTTCACATTTACAAAGTTGACCGTTGACAAAATATTGTGCAAAATAAGTAGAAAAAATAGAAAAGTGAAATTTCTAAATTTTTTTTTTCCTTCCACATTCAAAGACACAGTAAGTGATAGAAAGGGCCAAAGGTGGGGGGGAGGGGGCTGAAGAAAAACCATAAGGTCTGAGTTAGTCACACCCCACACACTAGGAATCTGAAGATCCAAGAGTTTACTCCAAAAATGCTCTAGATTTTATAAAACGTGGCTGGGTTCTACAATATAAAAATAAGTACAGCTTCACCTTGTACTTTGGCATGCAATAGATACAGTGGCCCTTGTTCTGTGTGGGTGTCATTTTATCTTTAAAAGGAAAAAAAGTGGTTTGCTATGAGAATCTCCTATCTCTGGCTTTTAGTACTAATTCAAATGGGTGTTTGAACAGGACTTTGGAATGCTTGCTGGACAAAACACTGGTCAGGGAATGACCTCATCTGGGCGATACCAGGAGGAGAGTTTTGAAATGTGGACTTCCCCTAGAGTATGAATGATTATTTTAAAGTTGCTGATCGGGGCCCGCGGTCCGGGCCTGGTCTCTGTTACTCACCATGTTGTCATGTATGGGGGCGAAGAGAGGAGCCCGTCACGCAGGAAGAACCATGTGGGACTGAGAAATGTGAGAGGCTAAGAAGGCAAGGGGTTGGGATGACTTCACCTTCACGAGGAAGAGTGAGGAGGAGGTGTGGGTCCCCAGCTGTGCCATCCAGGAGAGGGCAGTGGCAGTGCCAGGCCTGGAAGCTGGCACTGCTCTTCTCAGTGTGTCCCCCATGCGCCCATGTATCCCACAGGTGCACATCTAATCCGAGGTTAGCCCAGGGCTCCAACATCCGTCTGGTTCCTCACCAAGGTGTGCAAAACCTCTGATTTAAATTAAAAACTTTTAATTATTGTTTACCTCTATCTCCTCACTAAATTGTGAGCAACGTTGAAGGAGGCTCTTTTTCATTCATATTGCATATGAATGGGCATTCAGTGAATATCTTATGAAAGAATGCGTCTTTATTCTAGATATGAGGCCGTGGGAGACTTGAAGAGGTACAAAGATGAGCTTAAGGACACTGTTAAGGACAGATCCAGACTGAACATGGCATTCATATATCCCAGATTGTGTCTCTAGTCCTGATTATGTTGCCTCATTCTATGAAAAGGATAAAAGGTGACAGGAGCATTGAAAACCATTATTTGTTATTTTCATTAGCATCTAAAACAGTGACTCTCAACTGCAAACAATCCCCACTCAGAGGACATCTGGCAAAGCCTAGAGACATTTTCCGTTTTCACACCTGGGCGAGGGGGTACATCTAGCAGATAGAAGCCAGAGATGTTGCTAACCATCCTATGGGGCCCAGGACAGTACCTCACCACAAGGAATGATCTGGTCCAAATATCAAAAATGGCAGTGTAGAGAAACCCCAATTGAAGGTCAGCATTAACACCTTATAATGAAAAGGGAATGGCAGAATGGGATTGTAGGATATGGGAGTCTGTGCCCCTTTTCAAAGCAGATCTTGATGAGAGCAAGAAGAGCTCCAAGAGCAAATTGACTGTGGCTGTGACCTAAAATGGGGTCTCTACCTGCAATGTGTCTGTGTGGTTTCCTTTGTCCCAGATGGGGATTTAGGTCACCAATGCTTATAAGCTCTGACTTGCACTTGGGTCTCTGTAGACTAAGTTCTAGATTCTTCCTAAGATTTTGTCTAGTAATTCCCTATTTCCATTAGCCTTCAAAAGCTTTTTAATTCACTGGGTGGTGGTGGGGGGGAAACTTACCTTTAAGATAAAAGCAGTTGATATTGGAATTCTAAACTGCAGTAGCATTAATTGAAAAAAGTCTTTAGAATATTTACTGTCACTTTGAAAGGAAGGTCTACTTAATCTCAAAGAGTTTCCATGCAAGTAGAACTCCTATTCTGCTTTTATTTGAACGGACAAAAATATTCTGAAATTTTTATATTATTTCAAAGACTTTAGAGGTTTCACTAACTAGCTAAAGCAAACCTAGTAAGATATTATCTGGTTTCCCAATGAAGTATTGCTGTCACTAGAGTCTTTCTGTTTCTCTGAAAAGTGTTGGAAGGTTATCATTATAGTCTTTTTTATTGGAGCTTTAGGATAGAGATGGGGTTTCATGAAGTAAACAATACAAGGATGTAAGGACCTTATATCACTTCATGTATCAGTTTTCCATATAAACCTGTCTTGGCATAAATTTGCCATTCTGTGTTTGAGCTTCTTAAAAAGCATTGCATCACAAACATGGGCTCTTTGTTTGGCTGGAATGCACTTAATTTCAAATGGGAAACTCAAGAAAGCAGCTAATGACTCTTTATGTCAAGATTGGTCACACAATCTTGGCAATAGATGAATTAAAACTATCTGAAGAACTGCCTTCCAGATAGAATGTCACACATAAAGCCCTCTTCTGAGTCCAGATCCCCATTATCATTTTCTGCCCTCTGCAACATAACGCTGGCTTCTCTCTTCTTTTCAGAGTCTCCAATGAATTTATATGGGGCTAAGCTTCAAATCTACCTTACTTCACTAATGATACTCTCACTGTCTCCTTCAGTAAGTTCTCTTCTACTGCAGTTCCATTTCTGCAAATTTTGAAAGTGGTGTCCAATGTTCCTAATCTTTGCTTGTCTTTCTACACAGGCAGTTGGCCAATGGAGACTAGGTATTCCACACTTTCATTATTGAGAGCACATGTGAGTGGGGGTGGGGAAGACAGAGGGAGAGGGAGAATTTGAGCACTGGGTGTTATATACAACTGATGAATTGTTGAACACTGCATCTGAAACTAATGATGTACTATATGTTGGCTTAATTGAGTTTAAATAAAGAATATTTTTGAAAAATAGTCTGTCACTTAATTGAGCCACCCAGGCACCCCAACACACTGTCAGAAACTGTTCAGATAATGTTGACCTTGTTATAATGGACATAAAATGAGATTGTCTCTATCTCCAAATATTGAGAGGCTCAAAGTAACTGGTGGCATTTTCTAAGATTGGAAGATCACACTCATATCAGTACAGTGTCCCTGAACAAAGTATCTTTCCTCTGATACCAATAACTTCAGCAAGATCTCAAATGGGGGCAAACCTATAATTTTATTTCTTCTTTCCTCTTCAGAACTTTTTTTAGATTGTGACTTCATTTGTGAACGTAAAATCTTATTTTGCTTCTCTCTGGAAAATAGAAGTCTTCTTTGAGCCATAAAATTATCTTTCTCTTAAATTTATTTATTTATCTACATTATTTTTGTGAGGGAACTAAAGTTTATGTAAATCAGGTATATTGAAAAGGTTTTTTAAAAAAGATTTTATTTATTTATTTGACACAGAGATAGCACAAGCAAAGGTAGTGGCAGGCAGAGGAGAGGGAGAAGCAGACTCCCCACTATTTACGGAGCCCTGTGAGGGGCTCAATCCCAGGATGGTGAGACAATGACCTGAGCCAAAGACAGACAGTTCTTAATGGACTGAGCCACCCAGGTACCCCTAAAAAGGGTTTAAAAATTTTTTTTTAAAATTTCTTTAGGCTTCCAGGAAATCACATAGAAATCCTTAGGGCTAGTTATTTTCTAATATTATAAATGAGGAACTGAAGTTCAGAGAGATAAGGCAACTTGGCCAAGGACCCACAGGTAGCTGGTTTACAGTGCAGCAAGATGGTTTCTACTGCGGTTCCATGAATAGTAAACTAATGAATAAATAACAGAGGACATGCCTCATCCTCGGCTTCTATAGAGATTTTAGCCCTTCTTTCAAGATCAATGGGAAGGCGCTTAACAAATACAACCAGGCGAAACCCAAGAAAGTTTCACAAGCTTTCCTCTTTGTGAACTGCACCAGGTCCTATCACTAGGGGGCACCCTCCAAGACAAAGAGAATCGACCTGTTCTGTTTCCATTGCTTTTCCTGCAAAAGCTAGACACGTGACTTCCCAGCTCTCCATTTGTCTCAGGGCGCCAACGTCCAAAGAAGATACAAAAGCTCCCTATTTTTCCGTTTAAAAAAAAAAAAAAAAAAAGTAAGTTAGACTTTCAGTGTTTGTGAGTGGAATAAAAGAGAGCTTCTTAGAACTATCAGCATAGACCTCGGCAGAAGCCTCCCCGGCTCCAACAGGTGAGGTTCCGTCCCCCTGCTATACTGAGCATCAGTAGGTCCCTCAGGTCTTCCTTGTTTTCTTTGTAGACGGCGAGGCTCAGGTTCGGCTGGGTTTAATGATTAACAGCTGGTATTTGAACATGTGGTTCTGCGAGGCTTTGGCAAGCAGGCATACACTAATGGGAGTTTGCCCAACTGCTAAGGCATGCAGACAAATCCGAGTTATCTAACAATCTCTCTGGGCATTTTTTTTTTTTTTTTTTTTTTTTTTTTTTTTTTTTGGGAAGACACAATAAAATAAGACAAAAAGAGCAAGCAACTCGACCGACGAACATTTTTGATATGCCGAGATTTTAAGGGCCTTGCGGAAGTGCTCCACAAAGAGACAAGGTTGCATAACATTGGGAATCAGTTAAAGTAAATATCAAAGTGAGCGTTACCTGCATAAGTTCATGTAGAGCAGGATGAAGACTATTTGGGAAGAAGAAAAACACTCTTGCTGAGAATGCGGCAAACAAGCAAACAAAATGTTCTCAGGTATGATTTCGAAAATTCTTATTTAGGATTTCTCCCAAGCAATTATCCTTTTTCTACCACTGGGGCTTAAATTTCTTTTCTTTTCTTTCTTTTTTTTTTTTTTACAATGGAGAGTGATTGGTTTATTAAAATTTGTCTGACCTGACATTTTAGAAGCTTATAGCTCTAATCAGTTTGAGAGAAGATGCAGAATGAAAGAAGACTAATCATTTGTAATGAATGACAACTATTTTGCAAATTAAAAAGGTTTTCAAGATCAATATTAAGAAATAAGTCTTGGGGCGCCTGAGTGGCTCGGTGGGTTAGGGCCTCTTGCCTTCGGCTCTGGTCATGAAATCAGGGTCCTGGGATCAAGCCCCGCACAGGCTCTCTGCTCAGTGGGGAGTCTGCCCCCCACCCCCGCCTCTCTGCGTACTTGTGCTGTCAAATAAATAAATAAAAAAAAAATCACGGATGGTCAGTTTTTTATAGAAGAGTTAAATCAGTACTTTGTGGGGATGAGTACATTTATGGATGACCAAGACAGTCTATGAATATATTTGCAGCAGAATTTTTAAAATGGGAAACTTCGTAAGTAGAAAATCATTTGGAGCTCAACAGCTATAGAGACTTCAGCGATGGAAAGTAAGGAAGCAATTTGTAAGGGAAAATAAAAGTGGAAAAATTGGAGTTGGGGAAGGGTCAGATGATGGCCGTGAGAAATCTCTGGTTAATGGTGAGGGGCAGGCGGGGTGGGGGCGGGGAGGAAGCAAAGATGAGGGGTGTAATCTCCCCTGTCAGTTCTGGGTTCTTCAGAACTAGGAAAGTGTTGAACTCTACACACAACCATGCTGAAGAATGTCCTGGGATGTGGGGAAAGAAAAATTCAGCATTATGGTAAGAACCCTGGGAACACTATGGAATTAACCACTCCCTCCCTCCCTATGTCTTATAAACACTGATGGCAGTAAGCTAATTATAAATTCACATTTTATGTTTTAAACACATGCACATTTTTCTCTTTGTAGGATGATTTTATTATATCAAGTGGTACATTTCATTTTATTTGCCTCAGTTTCTGGTGGTAAGTAGAGCTTAATCTTAGGTATGAATTGGAAAGAGCTTGGTTCCCTGACTTGAAAACGAGGAAACAAAAGGGGTTGATCCCAGGGACGGAAATCACACCGAGGTCCCATGCCATCTATTCCAGGGAAGGACATCATAGTTTTATTTTTCACTTAAGGCTCTGGGGGTTTTCAAAACAGGGGAGACAAATGAGGTACAGGAACTCCTCATAATAGCAATAATCTATATGTATGTCTATATACACATCTGTACCTATATTTATATCCAAATCCATATCACTCATACTAGTTTGATGGTAATTAGTACTTGCTTTGCACCAAGAGGTGGTATGTGTGGGCAGTGGGAGTATTTTGAGCTGTTAATAGACTTCATTAAGGCGGTGGGGCGGTGGGTGGGGGGAACTGCTGTACAGTTCTGTTGGAAGCAACGCAGAACTTGGGGGAGGGCAGGTTTCTATTAACCTCCAGGTCATTCTTGGTTAGCTGCCAATTTCGGAGAAAATTATGCTATCTGCAGAGGTTGTAGTTGGGTAATTTAGAAGGTGTATATGGTGGGTTTTGAGCAGAGTCTGTGGCAGGGATCCTTACTCCTTTCCCCCCATAAATCCATGGAGACTCTATTCTCAGAATAATGTCTTTAAAGACATAAAGTAGGGGCACCTGGGTGGCTCAGTGGGTTAAAGCCTCTGCCTTCGGCTCAGGTCATTATCTCAGGGTCCTGGGGTCAAGCCCCGCATTGGGCTCTCTGCTCAGCGGGGAGCCTGCTTCCCCCCACCCCTTCTCCCTCTCTGCCTGCCTCTCTGCCTACTTGTAATCTCTGTCTGTCACATAAATAAATAAAATCTTAAAAAAAAAAGACATAAAGTAAAAATACACAGGATTACCAAGAAAATCAAGTATATTGCAATATGCTTAATTAATGTGTTTAAAACAAAAACACCCCGAACTCTGATATAAAAATAGATCTGCTTCATATTAACACATGATATAACAAGATTTAGTGGTTAAAATCTTAGTGGTCTAGAATTTTAGTGGTCTAAAAATGCAGAGTAATAATTACTACCAAACTAGTCATGAGGATAATGGTATTTTAAGGTATCTGTGGGTAGTATTTTCTTTTTAAATCTTATAATTGTACTATAACAAAGTTGCAGATACTGTGAACACTATGTGCTTTGTTACTTACATTAACAAGAGAAGTCTATGCCACATTTCAGTTAGAGGTTAGAGAAAATAAAGTTGGAATTTTCCCCATCCAAGGCCATGGGCTACCTAAATCCTGTAAGCCTCTAGTGATAGTTTTCACTGCTCCCTACTTACATATTTTCCTATATATTTGGTATGTTGGTTATTGCTACAATAAATATTTGAGTTATATTTTATCCTCCCAAAGTATTTCATTTTTACCAAATCTGTATGTATACATTTACATATATAGTATGCATATAGTAAATGTATATGAAAGATATTAAGAAGACCATGGGTGGTATAGTAGTACTTCTTAATAGGAATATACTAAGATTAAAAACTACAACCTTTTATTCAGTGACTAAATAATAATGACCCAAAGAGTCATAATCTGGAATATTAGCTATCTCTTCCTAGAAACAGAAAAAAAATTAATCTTATGCACTTTAGCTTTAAAAGAAAAAAACACAAACCTGTGTATGGTTTCAGTTAGAATGGGATTCAGTTATTTTCCTGAGCGTCTAAAGTTCCTGTTACTAAACTGGCCCATTTAAAATAGTAATATGATACTGAATATCACATCCAGGGCCATTGAGCACTATTCAAAAGTGGTCAGTCTGGATCCTTTGTTTCATATAAACATGGAATTTCAACAAGCAAGCAGCAGGGAAAGGAAAAAGCAGGTGGCCCAGTCCAGACTTGGATGCAATGCTAAAGAACATCTTGGGCCAGTAAAGCTCTGTGCAATTATTCAGTCACCCACAAAGCTCCCGTGTCTCCTAGACAACCCCCATCTGCACCATTCCATTAAGGCAAACGTGCCATTTTGTGATTTCCTTTTCTGTCTGAGACTTCTCACCCAATAAACTACCATAAAAGTATTAATTGCTCTGATTTCCAAGGTCAGGCATATTTTCTGTTATGTAGACCTGCTCTGCTGGCCTTTGTGAGATTATTTTCTAATCAGTTACGTGCAACTAAAATCCAAAATAAGGCATGCAATGTATTACATCACAGACTGTGTGACTGAGCTGTTGACAGACACCTGCTTCGAAGGAGGAGACATCACTACCGTCTTCACGCCAAGTGCCAGACATTGCCAGCTCGTCTGCACCCACCACCCACGCTGTTTGCTTTTCACCTTCGTGGCTGAATCGTCTTCTCAAGATCCTACCAAATGGTAAATGTTTGCATTTCTACATAGCAGAAATAGTTTTTTTTTTTTTTTTTTTTTTTTTAGAGAGAGATCACAAGTAGGTGGAGAGGCAGGCAGAGAGAGAGAGAGAGAGGAGGAAGCAGGCTCCCCACCGAGCAGAGAGCCCGATACGGGGCTCGATCCCAGAACCCTGGGATCATGACCTGAGCTGAAGGCAGAGGCTTTAACCCACTGAGCCACCCAGGTGCCCCGCAGAAATAGTTTTTACATGAGGATTACTTACCAATGAGTATTCATCTACCATTTTATAAAATGTATAGTCAGTAGTTGGAAAACATACTGTCCTTCAATTGAAATACAAAATATTACAGAAAAAAAGGATGGTGTTTTGGCAGATAGGGGAGGAGCAGAGGTGCCCCTCAGTGTGGACTTTCCAACTTCTCTGTGGTCTAGATTTTAATGGTGTATTTTCTCTCTTATTTCTCTCCACTTTTATGCCTCTTAATCATTTTGTTCTTTGCTTTTTGATTGTTATTGATGTTGGATGTTATTTAAACTGGTGCTTTTCCCTCAATTATTTTATTAGGAGATAAATATTTGTAATGGTAGTTTCAAAGAATAGTACAGTAGTCCCCTGACACCACCAAGACTTTTGCCATTTCTTCCCTATCTACCTCTCTTTCTATCATCAATCTAATCTATCTGTTTAACCACTTGAATTATTTGAAGACATTATAACATTTCACCCCTAAATATTTCAGTATACATTTTCCTACACGAAAAACATATAATTTTAACAAGAATCCCTTTATATCATCTCAGTTGTCCCCCAAATATAATTTATAGCTATTAACCAGAATCTTCTTCAGAAGATTGCATTTGCATTTGATCACAAATTGCATTTAGTGGTTTTATATCTATAATTATGGTTTTATTTTTATTTTTTTAAAGATTTTATTTATTTGAGAGAGTGAGTGAGAGAGATCATGAGAGGGAGAGGGTCAGAGGGAGAATCAGACTCCCCACTGAGCTGGGAGCCCAATGAGGGACTCTATCCTAGGACTTGGGTTTCATGACCCCAGCTGAAGGCAGTCACTTAACCGACTGAGCCACCCAGGTGCCCTAGAGTTACATTTTTAAAATTTTAGGACATTCCATCCACAATTTTTGTTTCCATGTTGAACCTGAAAATTCAGTAACAAAGCTTTACTACAGAATTAAGTTATCAACATCTTTGTGTCTTATTGCCACATTCATAGATATTTACATAGTACCCAGAACTTATGAAATTACTATTCTAGAATCTAGAGCAGAGCTTGGCAAACTTTTTCTTGACAAGGCAGGGAATAGTTTGGGCTTTACAGGTCAAAAAGCAAAATCAAGAATATTAAGTACTTATATAACCATTTAAAATGTAACCATTTAAAAATATAGAAACCATTCTCAGCTCATGGGCCAGACAAAACAGGTGGAGGATTGTTTTACCAACAGGCCAGAGTTCACCCACTCCCGTTTCCAGGTAGTAGGGAATACAATATGTGATCTTTTAAGTGTAGGGATGTTGGAATGAGAAACAAATTTGCAGTTTTGCCAAGAAAATATTTGTTTTGGCAGGAGATAGAGGAGTTTGTTTCTTCCTCTTTTACTTTCTGTGTGCTGGCTTTTAAGATCCATTCTTTTATTTTTATTTTTTTTAAAGATTGTATTTATTTATTTGACAGACAGAGCTCACAAGTAGGCAGAGAGGCAGGCAGAGAGAGAGGAGGAAGCAGGCTCCCTGTTGAGTAGAGAGAGCCATGCGGGGCTTGATCCCAGGACCCTGAGATCATGACCTAAGCCGAAGGCAGAGGCTTAATCCACTGAGCCACCCAGGTGCCCCAAGATCCATTCTTTTAAAATGTAAATTCTCATGCAGTAATTTTTTTTTTTTTTTTTTTAAACAGGTTTACTTGTATCCTGAAAGACAGTGTAACAGAAACACTGCCAAGGGTGAATATGACAGGAGCCATTTCTGGATATTCTTTCAAGCAATGCTCACACCAAATAAGTGGTAAGTTGTCTTATTAGAATTTGTAAATACTAGTTACTGTGATGTATATGTATAGTCATATCACATATGGTTTTATAATTATAAAACAAAACCCTGCTGTATGGTCATAGAGTCTCCAAATGAAGTTAGTTTCTTCAGTGTAGAATAAAAACTAAGCATGCATATCCCCCCCCATTCATTAAAATTTACACAATAAAAGGACATGATCCTACTACATTAGTCCTCACTATTCGTTTGTTGTTTTTCTCTTTCCCAGTTTAAAGTTTTATATAAAAGTCCTTATTAAACATATGACTTCAAATCAAAAGAGCAGCTGTAAAAGTTGAGATGACACTTGCCTTAATAGTCAAAAGATTCCTGGATAGTTTAGTCAATCAGTCAGAGGGTTAAAGGAGATCAGGGAGGCCAGGGCAGAAAACTGAAACAGTGATTTACAAGTTTACATTGTTGCAATATAAGAAGGACATGGGCATTGTTTTGCTGGCTTCCACCTGAGGGTAGAAATTAAGCAGATTAAGATGAAAACAAAGGATTTCTGAGGAACAGTGGCAGTAAGTGTGGAAAGAGGAAGTCAGGAGGGACAGTTGCTAAGGTAGCATTATTCCAGTTGCCCCTGGAGTCTGGAAGATTGCCATTTGCTGCTTTTGTTTCCAGCTTGCAACAAAAAGGTGTATGTGGGCTTGGACATGAAAGGCATGAACTATAATGGCTCAATTGCTAGGAATGTTCAGGAATGCCAAGAGAGGTGTACGAATGATGTGCACTGTCACTTTTTCACATACGCAACAAGCCAGTTTCCCAGCACAGAGCATCGGTGAGTGAGCAATGGGCTGAACCCAAAGACAGTAAGTAGATCATTACATTATCCGATGAAAAACATGTATTGCATGGAGCACTGGGTGTGGTGCAGAAGCAGTGAATGTTGGAACACTGAAAAGATAAAATTTTTTAAAAAAGGAGAAAAAAAAGAAAAACAAAATTTCTCTTTAGCTAAATGCCAGAATTTACTTTTAGCCCCTAAATGACATTATTACAGTAAGTACAGTGCTGATAGTCTTCTTCACAGAAAGTGCGTTTAAGGCCCAACTCGGATGCATTTGCTTATAATAAGGAGTCTTTTACTGACATTGTTACATTAAAAAAAAAAAAAGATTAACCCATCTCCTAACTAATTTAAAAATGACACATTTCTTCATTGACAGTTTTGAGAGTTATTATTGGTCTGACTATGCCATTCCTGGCCTAAAGGATTATAGAACCAAAAGGAAAAACCCGCTCAGGCCTCTTTAAATGAAAGTTTCTTACCTAAGACAAAATAACTGAAACCCATGTGAAGTGTTTTAAAATCTTTCCCATATTGGATTTTGAAATATTCTAGAGATAAATGGGTAGGATATAAAAAGGACTTGATCTCTAATGATGAATCTGTGTTCTCTTTTTAAAAAAAGTTTAGGGAAGAAATGTCACTGACTTATATTTACAAATATTTGCGATGTTTTTGAGTTCTATGGTAAATTATACTTATGTAGAATCCAAAAGAGAGAAAGAGAAATAAGTTCAAATGACTAATATTTGAATTTACTTTTGGGTTTTAACATTGCCACTCTCCATATTCACAACAGGGACATGAATGCAAAGCAAATAAAGCAATAGAGATTTATTTCAAAAACAATGATAAAACCCTAATAAGCAAGCTTTCATGGTTTGTATTTAGCTTAGTTCATATATCTTTTTACACATTTTATATCTAAGACTTAACACAATGGGGACAGCAAGCCAGGAACTTGGGAGTTGCTGGGCATTATAAAAAAGTTAAACTGCTAAAATTGAGAAGGGCTTGAGAATTCATTACTTCCCACCTGATACTCTTTAGACCATCCTTCCTCCAAAGCTGGCATTTTTGTGATGAAAAACAAAGTTGACAAAATTCACAGGCCCACCAGGTCTTGGCAGAGCAAGGACTGAAGTCCAGCTGTCCGGTTCTCAGATTCATGCTTTTCAGAGCGATCCCTTAGCTGTAATGCCCAGGTAGTGTCTACATTGGAATTTCTTATCACCTTACGCTTTTTCCTGCTTGTATTTAGAGGAGTAAAACATTTTTCCATTTTTGTTTTTAATCAGTAACATTTGTCTCCTGAAGTACACCCAAATGGGGCTACCAACCAGAATAATGAAGCTTGGTTCAGTGGTGTCTGGATTTTCCTTGAAATCCTGTGCGCTTTCTAACCTGGGTAACTCTTATTACTTCGTGAGATGGTTTGGCCATTAAATAGTAATGCGTGCTGATGGTATGTACGATGGGTGCTCACTGTTGAAATGGACCAAATGATCTTTTACCTTCTTCCTGTGAAAAAATTCATTATGTCCTGTATAATTAGAGCTACGTTGGAATTTAAAATAATCACTTTACTTTTCCTCATTTAAAAGAAAATTTTGAAGATCCTGAGATTAAAAAAACTTTAAAAAAATTGTTATGGAGACTTTATTACCTTAGAACAATTTTAGATTTGCTGCAGAGTTGAGGGGAAAGTAGAGATGCCCCATATACCCTTGTGCCCCACCCATGCGCAGACTCCCTCATGATCAATATTCCCCTCCAGAGTGGTATGTTCGTTACAGTTGATTAATGTATGCGAACCCATCCTAATCCCCTCAAGTCCCTGGTTCACTTTCACTTGCACTCTTGGTGGTGTGTATTCTATGGGTTTGGACAATGTCATTACAGTATCATACAGAGAATTTCCACTGCCCTCAAATTCTTCTGTGCTCAGCCTATTCATCCCTCCCTCGCCCCCTAGCTAACTTTTCATATGGCATTTACAAATATGATAACTGGGATTTTACCGATTGTGTGGGAGAACTGATTCCTTAAGCATAGTGTCTTCTGTTGTGCAGCTTGCATTAGGGACATTTTCCCTGGTACGGCGTTTGCAGACAGTAACATTGACAGTGTCGTGGCTCCAGATGCCTTTGTCTGTCGCCGCATTTGTACTCACCATCCCAGTTGTTTGTTTTTTACCTTCTTTTCTCAAGAATGGCCAAAGGAATCTGAAAGGTAAGGAGTTCAGATTAAGATTAATGTGGTATCTTTTAAAACAACTGCTCAAAATCCATTGTTAACAATTCTGAGCTGCTACACATTTGATCTAAATGCCTGCATAGAGTAGATCAAATTTGCAAAGAAGAATTCCTAGCTCCTCTCTCTTTCTGTTCCCAACCTAATGGCCACAAATCCCATGTTAGCAAGGACTCTTGTTTTCTTTAGCTGGGGGAGGTCCCTGCCTTCAGCAAAGAGAGTTGCCTAGCTCTTAACAGAACGAAGAAAACATGGATGACCATTAAGAGGCAACTTCATCCAATGCCCAGTTTGAGATCATTGAGCAGAAAAAGCTAGGAATACCAGTGAAATGTCCAATCACTGTGAAGAGAAGGGGAAGTGAAGGCCTATATTAATGAAATGGGGGATAATTGCGGAGGGAGTTTTGAGACTTGAGGTGGTGTTTCCCTACTGATAGGTATTAATACAGGAAACCATAGTAAAGCGTAAGAATTGTCTTTGATCATTAAAGGGTTATTTTTTGGGGTTGCTGCCCCTCATTAATAAGACCTACTAAAAAAAAAAAAACCCTAAGTCTATTTCAAAATCTAGGTTCTCTATATTATCTGAATCAGAATTCTCAGAATCCTTGGTATTCACTTGATTTGGTTGCCCACATGGGGATTGTGTCCCCAAGAGCAATCCAACCAGGGTAGCCCTCAAGTTCCTTGTCCATCAAGCAAGCCTGGTTTTCCATTGAGCAACTTTCAAAAGTATTCAGTCTGTCACATGAAAATATATCTGTTGCTTTCATTTACTCAACAACATAATGTAATTTATTTGGTGCCTACTGTATACCAGGCACTGTTCTAAACACCAGGGATAATATTAATGAAATAAACAGATAAAAACCCTGCCCTATTTGGACCAGAGTGAAAGTGATAGAGAAGTAATCATATTAGGATATATTGTCCACGTAGGGCCAATAAGATTTGCTGATGAATTTGACATCGGCTCTGGAGGAAAGAAAGTCAATGATAGCACTAAGACTTTTGGCCCAGGGAGCTGAGAGGATGAAAACCCCATCACGGGGATGTAGATTTCAAGAGGGAAGAGATGCCTAGTAGACATCCAGAAGTGTTGAATTGGCAATTGGAAAGAGAAATCTGGAATGAAGAAGAGAGGTTTATGTTCTAGATCTGTGTTCAGGTGTTACCAGCATACATGGTAATTGAAGTGACTGAAACTGGGTGAGAACATTAAAGAACTGAAAGCAGGCAGAGAAGAAAGGAGGTTCAGAGATTGAGCCGTGGGACATGATAAATGCCACAAATTAGAAAGATGGCTTTGATACCATTGGGTTCATCGCTGTTCTTTTTCTTTGTATTCCTTTTATAATATTCTCAATCAATGTAAGAGGAGTAACACATTGGATCCTCAGTACAGGGTGAGAGAGGGGGATGAACACTATAGGCCAAGACTTGGCTTTTTACATTTAAATTAATTAAAATTAAATAGAAGTATATATTCATTTCTACAGTTGTATTAGCCACATCCAAGTGCTCACTAGCCACATGTAGCTAATGGCCATTGCCTTGGATGGCACAGACATGGACTATTTCTATCACTGTGGAAAATTCTGTTGGACAGCTCTGCTCTGCACTGTGATTTGGGGCTAATTAGGAAAAGTTCCTTCCTTCTAGGAAGATGCTCCCTGTGTGGAGTCTGTGTTGGAATGCATTTATCCCTCTCTAAGCCACGAATAAATCTGCCATCCAGAGTCACCCAGCAACTCCGGACGCCAGATTTCTCCGTTAACACGAAAGTGATGGAATCTTTGAGTTGGGTTAGGAGATTTGAAAGAAAGTGGGTAAAGAAGGAAAGTGCTCGGAACACTGACAATAGAACCAGCTCAGAAAATTTTTATGGAGGCAAGTGGTTTCGTTTTGAAGATCTGTCTGCCACCTGTGGATCATGGGGTCTCACTCAATGATTTATGAAGAGTACTTACAAAATGAAAATTTTTTCACTGTCCAGGACCAACATGAATTAATTGCCTTTTGTATGTGCTATAAAAAATGGTTCTTCTCTTTGATATGTCTTACATGATATATTTACATTACCCCCCCCCACTTTTTTTATGGTCAGAAATCTTTGTCTCCTGAAAACATCTGAAAGTGGATTACCGAGTACACGCATTAAAAAGAACAAAGCTCTTTCTGGGTTCAGTCTGCAAAGCTGCAGGCACAGTGTCCCAGGTAAGCTGTGAAAGTACTTTCTCCTGCTCGAGCTCAGCACAGCCGAGGCTGACCAGTGCTGAGGTTTTGTGTCTCATATCTGATCTGTGGTTTGCTGCCTAGTGTTTTGTCACTCCTCATTTTACCACGACACTGATTTCTTGGGAGAAGAACTGGACATTGTTGATGCGAAAGGGCACGAAGCTTGCCAGAAAATGTGTACTGACGCCATACGCTGCCAGTTTTTTACCTATTCCCCATCTCCAGAATCTTGCAACGAAGGGAAGTAAGACCTATGAAGAGTTACGTATACACTCTTGTCCCATCTTCTAGAGGGGTGCGTTATGTTTATACTCTTTTGTTTCCAACTTGCAGGGGTAAATGTTACTTAAAACTTTCTTCAAATGGATCTCCAACTAAAATACTTCATGGGAGAGGAGGCATCTCTGGATATACATTAAGGTTATGTAAAATGGATAATGGTGAGTTTAATGTTACCTGAGGAAAAATACATCTGAAGGAGTTACTCTGTACCAAATATATCACGACAGAGAGAGTCATTAATAGCCGTAAAGGGGAGAAAATTAGTACGATACAAACTTAGATGCAATTTTCTCTTATTTTTGCTCCCGTCACTCAGGCTGACCATTTTTTATGGGTAATTATTGGGCCTTAACTAGACTCTGTTAGTATTAAATGAATATGTGTTTTAATTTGACACATTTATACAGCTGGTGTTTCATGGTGAGACTCAGGTTTAGCCAACACTTTGATGTTTGATTCTTATCATGAAGGCCAGTGATCTTTCTTATCATCCTTTAAAAAATGAATATCAGCCATCATTTTGGTTAATCAAATCATTCATTTTCTGTCCATCGGCCATGACTTGACTTTTAACTGAAAGATAAATAATTATCATATGTTTGAAAAATTATGTATTTATTCAAAAAATAAAGTAGTTCCTTCTCAGTGGCCTTCATTCTTTCTGATTGTCTACAAGTGTTCTGCATATCTATTACTATTGGCAAACATTTACAGTAAAACCTTTTTAATTTATAACAATGAGTGTGGTAGGGTAGAAAGGAAATAAAAAGATTGTATACATTAAAGAAGACCTATACTAACATAAAAATTTTAATGGAAATCAGACCAGCTGTGGCCAATTCCAGGGGCTAATTTCTAAGCATAGTACCAAGTGCTGGTTTTTAGGCAAACAGACGATCTAAGGGACAGAATCCCCAAGAGGAAAGAATATACCACACTCCTCCCTAAATTACCCATTATGACTTCAGTATTTACTGATTTACATAAAACTGCATTTTAGACTTTTGTTGCTTAATGTCCAGTATTATAAAGTACTACAAATTTAAGATTCAATGAGATTTAGTGAATAAAAAGGAGTGATGATTATACTTTGTAATGGTTTTCAGAGTATGAAAATTTTTTTGTGTCAGAATTCTCTGCTGAGAAGATGAGTAAATCCTTAACTTCTGAGAACTTGTCACATAGCATATACCATATTGTGTGTAGTGCTTAACATCCTAACTAGGAAACCGTGCCTTCCTGGGGTGTTGAGGGGTCTGATGGGAATCTTTGGATGGCCCGAGCTCCTTTAAAAAGCCAGCCAATGAAGTTGTATCTCAAATATTCTCTGTTTTCCTCACAATACATTTACCTGAGACGGAAGGAGCATTTACAATAATTCTGTCATCTGCTAAGCACTAGAAGGGATGCTTGACATTTGGCAGATTTTGTTGTTAGTGATATTGATATAGTTTCTAAAATGGGAATCACACTTACACCTTAAATTGCAGAATCCATTCCCCACCCACCTTCCTTCTTAGCTTTTTCTCTAACAAATGTATGGATTCTGGTCCGTGAAGGCTACAGTATATATCACGTAGAAATTGATAGCTGAAGCAGAAAATACAAGATAAAGGGAAATAAAATCTTACAACTTTTTAGGGCACCTTCTGAAACTAGATAATTAGATTTTCCTGCACTATACTAGATGAAATAATACCCTAGTTGGCGGGGGGAGGGGGGATACCTACTGGAGACAGTTATCATGTCTTACATTGTCATTGGTCTTCATAACTTCTTGAAGATACATAGCAATTGCCGTAAAAAAAATGTTTCCTGACACAAAATCTAACACTAAACACATATGTTCAGCATTTTGTTTAAACTGAGAGATGAAAGGGAATGAACAAGACCTATTACTTATCCCTAAGAAAGACTTTCTTGTTTGTAACATATTTTAGTTATGGCTTACCTATTAATTTTCCTAAACTTTGCCGTTCCTTTCTTGTAAATCATAATGGCTTCCCTGAAATTCTAGAATCTAGTCAAAATCTTCAAAATGTTATTCTGAAGCTAATCTCACTCCATCTACTCTCAGGTGAGAACTCTTCTCTCAGCATCCCAGCCTGTTTAGGCTTTCTCAAGCACATCAAGCTTATTCCTGCCTCCACATGCACCAACTGGTGTTTTCTCCAAGACTCCTTTTCCTGACTTCTCCTTTGATTTGAAGTCTGCCCCAGGATTATATATCCATTTCCCTCAGACTTTGTGTTTACCCATACTTTGTGTTTACCCACAAAACCAGGAGGCGGGCCATCTAGGACTTGGCTTCTGTCTAGTGACTCTCTTGCTAATTTCACACTCCTCCTTTAGCTAAGGCCATGAACCTTCCCTCATCCTCTGGGCCTTGCTATTCTAAGTGTAGTCTGGGTGTAGCATGTTGAGGTTACCGGTAAACCTGCTAGAAAGAATTTCAGGTTTCACCCTAGACTGAATCAGAATCAGTATTTTAAAAAACAATCAGGTGAAAAAATAAAAAATAAAAGATAACCCGGTGATCCATATGCACATTAAAATATGAGAAGAATTCCTCTAGAAAACTGTTGTCTATGAGCACCTCATTCCCATTCTACCTGGGTTGCTGGGCCAGATTTGGCCAAGGCTCCCATCAGGAGGGTGGGTGCTCATGTTTGGCATCTCGGGAAGTGGAAGCAGAATGGACTGTCCTACCCAGGGCAGCTAAGACAGGAAGAAACAGAGGGGTAAATCAGAATCAAAGTCCTTGAGAGAACGTCCAACTGTCAACAAGACCCAAAGGCAGAAGCAGTTCAAAAACAGAAGAGCAGCTCAGGTTTGGATGGAACGCAGCTGGAGCAGGAGAGACTGGGATCAAAGGTCAGCCCAAAGGGAAGAAGATGGGGAAATTGGACAGATGCTGTAAACTGAGTGGAAGGATATTCTCAAGCTTCAGGGATGATTTAAATTCAGATTCCTAGGCTCTGCTGACCAAGTTTCTGATCTTATCAGGTCTGAGGGAAGCTCAAGAGGTTGCATCTCTAACAAATTCCCAGCTGATGTGATAGGTCTAAGGGCCACCCTTGACAATGACTTCTTTGAAAGAACCATTAGGGTTTATCATGTGAGGGAGGATAAGACTGAATGCAATACCGGATGAGACTTTCTTTGGGGATGTGTGATTACCAGGCGCCTCAGTCATTCAGTTTTCCTGTGTATGCTTCGCTTGCCAACTTGATTACAAAATTTCTTCATGTCAGCGTCATGATAGAATATGGAATCAAGGGAAGGTTTTCTCCTCTTTGAACCTGAAGGGACGTAACTACTGATGGAAAAGGAAGATTTAGGAAGCTCCTCATTGCCACCCCTCTGTTGCAGTGTGTACAACCAAAATCAAACCCAGAATTGTTGGAGGAACGGCATCTGTTCATGGCGAGTGGCCATGGCAGATAACTTTGCAGATCACGTCACCCAGCCAGAGACACCTGTGTGGAGGCTCCATCATTGGAAACCGGTGGATATTAACAGCTGCTCACTGTTTCGACGAGTTGGTACCATTCCTGTTTTTATTAGTTCCCCAGGCTCACACATATATTAAATCTGTCATTAGCATTTTAGTAAATACTTTAAAAATGCAAATTATCCTATTTGCTAAATTAAATTTCTAGAGTGAAAAAAAGAAATGCAGAAGGTAAGAACCACTTATGGTCTGCCAGTATCAGATGAGGTGCGTTAACATGATGGCATACTATTTCATGTGCCCATTTAAATGCATCCAAATGTCCAGGAGTGTTCTTGGTAGTTCCATCAGGACATATCTTCTGTGCATTGTCTTGGGCCTCGGGTCCAGAACTAAACACAAGGAGAATTTCCCCTTCTCTAAATCTAATATGCCATTCTCTCCCTTGCTGCTTCTTCCCCGTCTCTCTTTTCTCTTCCCCCTCCTCCTCTCTCTCTCTCTCTTCTCTCCCTATGTTTCCAAATACAGAAGGAAGAGTTCATTATAAATCCTCAAATTGGATTCCCTACTTAGGTCAGTTTCAATATTGGCCAGACCTAAAAGCTCCATCGGGAGATTATGTGTATCCCAGGGAATTTTAGTTGGCCAAACTTGCTCTTTGTACTTCAGAATTCTCTTGAGTTTCCAGACATGGTATTGTGTGTGTGTGTGTGTTTTTTTTTTGTTTGTTTGTTTTTTGCCAATATGTAGCATACTCACATTATAACTCACAGATATGTTTGAAGTCCATAGTCTCCTTTACCTTTTTTTTTTTTTTTTTTTAACCTTTTTCCTATGAGAAAATGGAGTACCAGAAATCCAAGTGAATTTCTCAGGATCACAGCTAATAATGCTAGGATTGAGACTAGAACCTGGAACTCTTCATGAGAGGGAGATTGAGCGAGAAAAAGAGAGAGAACACGTGTGTGTGTGTGTGTGTGTGTGTGTGTTGGGTGAAAAGAGCCTTCATTCATTTTTATGTGTTTTTTATAGTATATACTAACCCAGAGCTTTCTATGGGAGGAATATGTGAGTGAAAAAGCTTACTATGCAATCACTCCTTTCCATCAGAAAGCCCACCACCTGTAGAAAACGTTAGTAATAGGTAATTAGCAACTTGGTAATGGGAATTTCTTATCCTCTTATTGTTTTTTCCTTAGGGTAGAGTCACCTAAAATCTTGCGTGTCTATAGTGGCATTCTAAACCAATCAGAAATTAAAAAGGACACATCTTTCTTTGGGGTTCAAGAAATAATAATTCATGATCAATATGAAGTGGCAGAAAGTGGGTATGATATTGCCTTGTTGAAACTGGAAACCGCAATAAATTACACAGGTATGTTGGAATTTTAAATGGGAAGTTATCAAGAATGATTTCCTAGAGGTAATGTTTAACACCTCCAGATTCATGACCTGACCTCAGCAATCTCAAGGTGGTGTGATCGTGAAAGAGAGAGGGTCTGCAAAGCTAGTCTTTTAGTCTGTTAAGACTGGCACTCTTTCCTGATTATTAAATAAATAAAAAATAAATAAATTTTATTGTGGGATGTGGGTGAAGAGCTAAGTTTTCTGCAGGTTTTCTCAGATGCACCCAATGACATAACTCTATAACATATTGGAATATTAAAGATGATTTATATCTCTCTTTTAGAGACAAAAAGATCGCAGGTCAGAACAAGTAAGCAATTTCTACAGGGTCACAGACCTAGTTAGAGAGATGGAGTTCATGGGGAAGGCTGTGCCTTGTCTCCGCCTCATTCCCTCACCCATCTAGTATGTGACGGATAATGCTGAACATGAGTGAAAATGAATGGAAATGAGGCAAAACCCAAATATAATAAATAGAGAACACCAACATGATATAAAGCCAAAGCAGAGAGTCTCTCCTGGGAGAGAAGATATATTTTGATTCTGATGACTAAACTATGATTTTTAAAATTTAGATGCTCAGAGGCCCATATGTCTACCTTCCAAAGGAGATAGAAATGTAATATATACTGATTGCTGGGTGACTGGATGGGGGTACAGAAAGTTAAGAGGTAAGAAATGATGTTTCTCAGTGTGCTCCATCCTAAAGGTAAAGAACATAGCTCAGGTTTACCCTTATCTGCTGTATCATGGCATACAGCTAAAATGTGAGTAAAATAATCATGTCCTTCAACTACAGAAAGCATGTTAATAAAAGTGAAAGGCAGGGCACCTAGGTGGCTCGGTCGGTTAGGCGTCTGCCTTCAGCTCAGGTCACGATCTCAGGGTCCTGGGATCAATCCCCACATCAGGCTCCCTGCTCAGCGGAGAGTCTGTTTCTCCCTCTGCCCCTCCTTCTGCTCATGCTCTTGGTCTCTCTCTCTCTCTCTCATTCTCAAATAAATAAATAAATAAAACCTTTAAAAAAATAAAAAGGTAAAGTTGCCCAAGTGAGGAGGATCCCACATCTGTTTGATTGGAAATTTTAAACATGACAATCTCATTTAAAGACTAATTATTTTTAATTGACGTTTAATATGAAACCTAGCACTTTTCATGAAATGTCCTGGCCTATTCCGTTATTTTCTCTGGGCTGTAATTCCAGTTAGAGGCATACTTAATTTTGAACTTAATGTTCACAAATAATCTCTATATTTTGTAATTATAAAAGGTTTATGAGGTAAACCTAATATTTTTTCTAGATTTTTATATAAGTATGATTTTGATTTTAAATTCATACCTTTATATTATATATATATGATGATTCCATTAACCATTTTTTTTTCAGGCAAAATACAAAATACTCTCCAGAAAGCTAGCATACCCTTGGTGACGACTGAAGAATGCCAGATAAGATACAGAAGGCATAAAATAACGAATAAGATGATCTGTGCAGGCTATAAAGAGGGAGGGAAGGATGCTTGTAAGGTAAGAGTGTTTTCAACCAGTTGAATACATTCACATTAGAATGTTTAATGCATTTTTTAAAGAGAGAGCGAGAGCGAGTGCATGCACACAAGCGGGGGAAGGGCAGCAGGCGAAGGAGAGAATCCCAAGCATGTTCCACACAAGGAGCCTGATGTGGGGATTGATCTCACGACCCTGAGATCATGACTTGAGCCAAAACCAAGAGTTGGACACTTAACTGACTGAGCCACCCAGGCACCCCAGAAAGTTTAATGCATTTAAAAAGCAATCTTCTGGAAACCATGATATATTATTTTATTTACATTGAAGTTTATTGAAGAGCCAAGAACAGAATTTTAAGCAAAACCACTCTGAGGGAAATGTATTTAGATCAGAAGCATCTGAACTCACATGTGCACCTTTTCTTCCCCCTTCTTCACCCCATCACAGGGAGACTCAGGGGGCCCCCTGTCCTGTAAACACAACGAGGTCTGGCATTTGGTGGGCATCACCAGCTGGGGAGAAGGCTGTGGTCAAAGGGAACGGCCAGGGGTTTACACCAACGTGGTTAAGTATGTGGACTGGATTTTGGAGAAAACTCAAGCAGTGTGAAAGAGTCCCCACGTGCCATTTGACACCTGAAAGGCAAACCAGATTATTTCTGGGAGGAGGGTTTTGATTGCACTGAAGACAGAAGCTGGGCCGCCATTTTCCTCCACAGGTTATGGTACTGAGATAGTAACGCAGTGAAGGGGGTGGGTATTTGTGAGAATGTGCCAAGAGAAACAAATGATCATCTTCAAAACTTCCATTCTATGATAATCGTTGTTTTCAGCATCCAGTCTCTTGGTTTTTGATCACATGTTACTGGGCCAAAGAAATACTCTATGGTGATTTTTTAAAAATTCAAGTATTGATATTTTTTAAGATTCAAGAATCCAGTTGTGGCACCAGAGGCTCCAGTAGAGCTGCCAGAAGCAACCACCATAAAAAAATTTGTGAAGTGAGAACGGGGAGCTGGAGAAAATGGGGACAAGGACAGTCACCCTCATTTTGCAAGAATCTGTACTCTGCCTACATGAACATCTTTCTTTTGTGAAAGAAGAACTTGACTGGATTCAATGGGTGGTTTTCAGAATAATCAGGAATTTTTGTCATTTCAATTTTTTTTTTTTTAAGAGGGAGAGAGCAATGGGTGGAGGGTGGGGCAGAGGGAAGGGAGAGAGGGAGAATCTTGAGCAGGCTCCATGCTCAGCACAGAGCCTGATGCAGGATTTGATCCAATGCCCCTGAGATCATAACCTGAGCCAAAATTGAGAGTTGGTTGCTCAGCCAACTAAGCCACCCAGGCACCCCTGTCATTTCGGTTTTTAATATGTTTTTAAAGTAGTTTGGGTGGACATGAACCATGAGTGCATGTGAATGTGGACTCTAGGATTTCTATATGGTTTCTATATGGATTGAAGGCTGTAATTCACCTGGACGTGGTATCTTAAGGGAAGAATCTTAAAGTTGTACTTGCCTAGAAAACTACTGGTGCGTAGATTGTATATTTATTTGGTGTGATTCTGGATAAGGGAAGCTGATGGAGGTGAGGGGAGCAAGCTAGAGCTTTCCGAAGAGAAGCTGCCATGGTGAGTGTGAGTTTACAAATCTGCATTCATGGTAATAAAGGGTTTGACAGAATTCAATACAAAGTACCTCCAGACTTCAGGGAAAAAACAATTTGGGAACAAGTGGATGGCTCTTGTAGAGTCTTCTTTATCTTCAAAACAGCTCCCTGTATGCTAAGTGTTGGGGTTTGCCCTCTAGTGCGAGTATTTCGTTATTATTTCTGATGACTAGACTGTGCACTGTTTCCCCTGCCATTTTCAACCTGTGTCAACAACATTACATCTTATCCAGTATGAAAAATACTTAGGGAGCACACTAAACTATGAGGACATAGTGGTAAGCAAAGTGCTATGTCTTTACCTTCATGGAACCCCAGTCTAGTTAGCATGAACAACAAAAATCAAAGAATGACACAAGTGTGAAACTTCAGTGGGAGGGACGTACAGGGCTCTGTGACAATGGACAAGAAGAAGAGCATTTAGGGCAGGTTCAAAGACTGGGATAAAAATGAGCTTGTGCTGAGGAGGACAAATGAAAAACAAAAGCGAACAGAACCCCAAATCAAAAAGACCGGGATGGTCTAACAGGGCCAGATCCAAAACGTTTTTAGAGTCAAACAAGACTGAGACTGAGACTTGAGCACCATTAAAATTACCAAACAGTAGTAATAATTTTCTTATTATCTGCTTATTACCTTAGTAGTCTTGATACTGTAACACTTCACATTTAAAAAAAATTGGGATATAATTCTTCGTAGGAAGAGATCTTCCCTCTATGTTCCCCATTTGTGTCTTTTTTGTGGTTCAAAATGAGAGGAAGAGGCATGAAAGGGGGAGGAGACCATGTGTTACTAATCCATTTCTGAATAAATGTTTGCTCTTTAAAAGAGGCAGAGAGAGAAAGATCTTTCTGAAAAGTGTTCCCTGACAAATATTTGAGAAAAAAACACACTTTAGTTTTGTCGTACTTAACACTGAATATTATCTTAATTTTTGAACAGTAAGCATATGCGCATGATTCAGAAATGAAAATACTGGGAGAACATATAAAATACACCTTATACCTATAATGAGAAGGTTCCCTGCCCCACACCAAAAGATTGCACACCCTAACTGTACAGCACTGTTATCCTTTTTATACTCTGCCTTGGAAATATTTCTGATTGGTACCCAATGGGCTTCCTCAGTTTGTATTTTTTTTTTTTTTTACAAAAGTATGGTATTCCAGTGTGGGGATTCCAAACACCCAAACACCTACTGATAGACACTTAAGTGGTTTTCAGTTTTTTCACTCACTCACATGTGGTAAATTTGTAGCATATATTCCAGAAGTAGAATTGCTGAGAACGAAACAAAACCAAAAGAGTAAATGCATTTGTAATTTCAATGTTATCCAATTTCCAAAAACCTATGGCAATTTTCTCTCCCATTAGCAATATAGCAGGGCCACACTTTGGCTAACTTGATGACATTAAACTTGGGAATTTTTGACAGCCTGATAGTTGGAAAAAGGTGTCTCAATATAGTTTTGTTTTTGTGATTTCCTTAATACAAATGACATTAAACATCACATGTATAAGGTCACCAACTTACTAACAGCTTAATTTTTATTTAAATATTTAGTAGTTACCATGTAGACAAAAATAGAGTATGATCCTTGCAGCCCTACAACATGGTAAGAGTTCTTGCAAGGAAAAAAAAAAAAAAAAAACCAAACTTCCAGAGCTTATCTTATTAAAACTGGACAGTAGCTCAGTATTGTGAAAATATTGGTTGGTTGTCCTTCTTGCAGGTTACAGGCATAGATTTGGTGTGGAAGTAGTGCCATCTCTGGTTCCAGGGATGGATCCATCCGTCTGTGGCTGAGCAGGTCTAGGTAGCTGGCACATGGCCTCCCCCAGCTCCTGGAATTGGCTCAGAGATGTCAGTCTGAGCAACATGTAAGACTTTAATTGTTGAGGGAATGGCTTTCTCCTCCTCCTCCTCCATGTGAATGAGGAAGCACTCATGGCAGCAAATTTGAGAAGCCAGCCCAGGGCCCACCGAGATATGGAGACAGAATGCCCGAAGGCTGAACCAACTTTGGGCTTCCTTATTTCATAGCAGTAAATCAATTCCCTTTTGTGTTTAAGGCAGTTCAAATTGGGTTTTCTATAACTTGCAGCTGAAACATTGGGATGCACTGGGACTTAGTGACCTCAAGTATTATTACTACCCTGATTCAATTAACTTTAGCCTATATATATTAGGCACTCAGAACTGTACTATTTGACAGCACATCCTTTATTTTTTCTTCTAATTTTAGAAGTTCTATTTTCTTGAATAATTTTGGTTGGGACTCTTTATAGAGCCACGTGTCTCTCTGATGAGTGGTGCTTGGGAAAGCAAGTAATGAGGCCACAAATGGGTCACACCTAGAGCGATTCTCACAGGTTGGCACCCTGGGCACCTGTAGGCTGCCATTATCACAGATTCTAGGACGTGAACCCAAACTTTGGAATGAGAATCATATACAATATTAAGACATTTATTTAAGAAAGACTTTGTAAACAACACATTTTGTATTATATATGTTACTCTTAGGGCCCTACCTGTTGCCCAACCTCATTAAACACTCGGGGTACCTGATCCATTTTGATGAAGAAACATCTTTCCCTCTGGGCCGGTTTAGTCCCTCTTTTCTCTTCATCCTCTGGGCTCTACATTGTGTTAACTTCCTTTTTTTCGTGCTTTTCCACACCTTACACCAATCTGGGTTTGAATGGCTTTTCCCTTTCCTTGCGTGAGAGGATTTTCCACATCCTGGTTGACAGTGACTAGAAGGTCACCTTCAGAGATTTCACCAACCACATGGATGTCCCAGCAGCAGTTACTGGTCATGGTGTGTTGTCACAGTAGGTTTTGTCAGTGGGCCTTTCTACATGATGTCTGTGGGCGAGCTTGTTCCCCTTGAGAGGGATTCTCTCCATGTCAGGAAGAGGTGGAGGCCAGCTGTGGTCTGTGGGCTCTACCCAACTCCGACTCACATTGTGTGCATGTGGTGTCCGTTAATCAGAGCAGCGTGGGCTTCTCTTCCTTCTTGGGAGAACATTTTTGCCATTTCCAAGGTCATCCCATAGGAATGTACCTGTGTGTGTGTGTGTGTGTGAGAGAGAGAGAGAGAGACAGAGACAGAGACAGACAGACAGACAGACAGACAGAATGAAATGAATATTTAACAGTCACCTCAGTTCACCTCCTCTCTGGGTCTCGAAGCTTCTTCATCTTCACATGTGGTTTTTGTCTTATGGCTTTTGTACAAATTACAACAAACTGAGTGTTTTAAAACAACAGAAATTTATTCTCTCACAGTTCTCAAGACTAGATGTCCAAAACTGAGGTGTCAGCAGGGCCTCACTCCCTCTGAGGCCTCCAGGGGAGGGTCCTTCCTTGCCTCTTCCAGCTGCTGGTGGCCCCAGCTATTCTCTGGCTTCTGCCTGCCTCTCTCTGATCTCTGCCTCTGTCCCCACATGGCCTCCTCCCCTTTGTCTCTTCCCCTGTTCTTATAAGGATGCCAGTCATGTTGGATTAAGAGCCCCAACCTTCCGTGTAAAATAGTATATCATTTACTGTCATTGTCCATTTAACCCAAATGTTCAGAGAAGAGACTATTCAAATGACTCATGTGGTAACTGGCATGAAGCATATCCAATAAATGACTTCCCTCCCTCTTGTCCTTGGGGTATCAGGTAATTTTGTGATGAATGTAATAATAAATGGTGGGATTTCCAGATGGAGATTATAATTGTGTATGTACGTGTTTGTTTTACCTAAAAAGATGTCAGCTTTTATCTACTGAGGCAGCTTTCCCATTTCATCCAATACCCCCCAGTGAACAGGTACACTCTTTGTAACCACAAGATACTTTCAAAGGACACTGCTGTGCACAGGCAGGAATTTCTAAATTTGGTGAGGATTTATAGGTAATATCAATGCTTGGATACTCTTAAAAGAACAGCCAGGGCAGCGCTCGTGATCTTGGCCGGAAAGGCACCTTAACAAAGTATACAAAAATATGAAACCTTGGTCCTTACATGGAAAACCGTATCAACCACAAAGTAGGGTTTTTTTTTTTTTTAAAGTCTCTGCTGCCACAATTAAAGTAATTAGCCCCATTATAAAAATGGTAAAGCAGTGAAGAGGAATCAGGGC